TGAGGAGTAAAATATAATAGGGTATCCGTTTCTTAGCAATAAGTGGCGTGCTTTTTAGTTTTCTAAACACCTGCGAAAAATACATTGCTAGAAAATGGTTCATATGAACATTTCTATAAAGTTGATAGTTTCTCAAATATAAGCGATTTATTATGTGGAAAAATGAAAAATATTGTGTTTTACAACCCTGAAAAACATGAAAATACGAAAATTTTAATGTTACCAATCTTCCTAAATATTCTTCTAACACTCATTAACAAAATCCTAAATCATTTTAGGAGGCTTGATTAACAATTGATAAACGTAGGTTTACTATAACTATACACCCTAAAATGCTTTGGGGACATTGTAAACATGGAAATTTTCATTTTTTCTTATTGTTTTTCGCGGTCGAAAATGATCTATTTCGCACTTTTTCAAATATAATATCTCATAAGCTGTCAGCTTCAGAGAAAAGTTCTAATATACCTTTTTTGTTCATGATGTTTCAAAAAACCTTAAAGTACTTTGAAATGAGCGAAAAAACTACTTTTGGAATTTGTTTAATAAAAATGTTTAAAAAGCTTTTGACGATTCTGGCAATAAGCTGATTCGTTAAAAGGAGTCATTTTTTAAAGAGATTATACATACAATATTTTCTTACTGCATGCGAATATATTGCCTGGACTAGCACCTAGCAGAGAAAATCCTTACGAATTTTCTTCATACATTTTCATCCCGTACGTCGCAAAAAATCGAAAAAGGCAAAAGCTAAATCGCCAGCCATCATGCAGCTAATCCAGCGAAAGCAAAATCATGAAAACTAGACGACGAAAGCAATGGAAAGAAATGCCTTAACGACCGCTTCGAGTTTTTTATTCGGGAAACACGGAGTGTGCGTGGCTCGTTCTACATGATTAATCTTCGGAAGCTCCGTCATCTGTGAACCCTCCTGATATCGCAGAGCAGCGGAGAGCAGTCAAAGTACAGGAACTGACTTAATGAAGTGGAAGTAAATGAAACTATAATAGCTTTATCAGCACAACGCCTCGCTGGCTTCCGCCCTTAAACCTGACTTTAATTGAAAAGTATTTATAGAGAGTACCAAGAAATGGGAAATAATCACAGGATATTCGCATCTTATAATGTTACCGTGGAATGTAAGGAGATTTCGAGGGACAGATGTGTATGGGAAAAAGGATTACGTATCTGGAAAAGTGACATTTTGCGATATTATGTAGGTGTCATCTCGACGCTAGCTGTTGTTCACTTAATGTGCGCTCGTTGTGTAGCAGTACATGTTGCCTAAACGTCATGACGCTTGAGCTATCATGGTCTGGCTCTGATGTGATGTAACATCTGCTTCAGAGATCGCATTATTGAAGTTCTAAGCTGTAAGTTGTATACTATAACTGGAAGAAATTAACTGCGCATACACTTTTTCTTATTCATCCTGTGAACGGAATTATTTTTTAAAAGCTATTTATTTTCAACTTTTTGACAAAGTAACCTTATCTCCTCCAAAGTACTGTCCACTACAACTAATACACTTGTTCCACCGGTACTTCCACTTTTTGAGGTGTTCCTTAGAAGTGCCTGACAGCTCCTCCCTCGTTTTTTTCTTGACCCCTTCAATGTCATCCTTTCATGCCCCATTCCATCCGTGGAAATAAGAAAAAGTGTCACCGAGCCAGGTCAGGCGAATAAGGTGCGTGAGGCAGAGAAACCATGCCATTTTTAGCCAGAAACTGTAGAACAGAGATAGCTGTGTGCACAGGTGCATTATCGTGGTGGAAGAACCAGTCTCCTGACTGCCACGAATCGGGTCTTTTTGCCTAACACTGTTTCGCAATCGTCTTAAAACCTCCAAATAGCACGAGCTCTCGAATTTTTTCAACATTTTCGTCGATTCGGCAGTTGATGGACATCAATCGACATGTCGCCATTTTTTAATCTAGCAAACCACTCGTACACCTGAGTTTTTCCCATAGCATCATCTTTGTAAGCTATTTTCAACATTAAAACAGTTACAGTAGCATTTTTACCTATTAGAAAGCAAACATTCACAGCTGCACGTTGATCACTGAAGCTTGTCATCGTAAAAAACGAAACAAGCACGAAACAGATCTAGCAAAAATAATTATTACAAAGGAACGAAAAAAGCCAGATCGAAAACTCAGGTGGCACTGAACTGGTAATGAGTTGCACTGTACGCCTCAAGGGATAAAAATGTGTACTACATTTTTGGGTACCTCCTCGTATACAAATTTGCTGAATTTCAAAAATGAGATATATAAAAAAAGAAAATTCCTGATTGGTCGAGTATATTAGATCTAACAGGTGAAAAAATATGCTACAGATAGGAATATTTATGAAACGTAAAAGGTTATTATATTTTTTAGTTTGAATTTTATATAAATTTATTTTTCGATATCAAGTATATAGTACCAATGAGCGCCTAGATGTGAGGCACTGCGACAATGTTTTGAGCGAGATGCGTCATTCCTAATTTTTCTGTGATGCGGGTTTTAAGGTAAGCGAAAATATTTATTTTTTGGAAAGGGCAACACATAAATAACCCATCAGGAACAGCTCAAAATCCGAGGAACCCTATAGGTTTTATCGGCGAAAATATACAGTGTTCAACAAGTATGCATACATCAAAATATCTCGAAAAATAGGTTTCCTAGAGGAAAATGTTGTAGAACCAAGTTGTAAGGTTTAGAAAGACTCATCTATTGGGGATCTTGGACGTGGCGTTTTATAAAAAAAACAACAGCTACCTGGAGATTGGAGCTGTCGGAACTTGGGCTATCAGAAAAATGTTCATATGGCGGATCTATCAAAACACAGCATTGCCAAATGAATCGGACAGAATTTTCCCAGAACAATAACAAAAATGTCTCAGAATTGCTACAGTTAATTAATGGAAAGAGGTAGGTTTAGTTCAAAGATCGGGGGCTGATTTCTATCTTGAAAAGATTATAGCTCCAAACATTCCCTAAGAAAAAATCTTCCAAATTTGGAAGAAAATCCTCCAAAACGGCAACCCTGTTAAAGCACCACTGGTAGGCCACCGATCAAGTTTCGGGGTCGTTTTCCCTATTGAGTCATGTGATAGATCAGAAACTCGGCGGATCGAATATGAACTATTTTTTAACTTGCCCGATTACTAAGCATAATTCAATAAGCCGAGCACTAATTCTATTCTATTAAGTGTTAATGACTTGTTCAGCTACGAACGCAAAAACAAATAAATGGCACTTTGTACAGTAAATGGTCACCATAATAGGACACTTATCAACTTTTGCACGATTAACCACTGATTCAATTAGGGATGCGTAAGCAGATAAGTAGGGGCGATAATTTGTTTCATTAGCGGGTAATGAACAAAGCATATCAGCGGCGTACATAAGCTAAGCTTCCTATGTTCGCTGTGACACATACAGTACAAAGGACATGAAAAGTCAAATGTAATTGCTAGTCAAAGCTGCATCTGGAAACCTAGGAGGCCGAGAGCACTCTGCAACCACGTCATCTATTACTTCAACTGATTTTTAGAGCCGTATCGTCAGTCATTCCTACAATTTTAGGACATCTTTGTGGCCTCCAAAGTGGTAGAAAAAATTGCCAGTCGCTAAGTTGAAGAAACCATCCCCGATCATATCAAAAGTTGCTAATTTGGCTACCTCGTAAAATTTGCGTATTCTCATTTCTACCCACTTTAGGTAGCTTCTAAAGGAATGACGTCTCGTGAGAAACTTTGCAGTATAGCTGCTCGATGCTCCTTCTGTTCTAGGTCCATTGATAATTTCAATTTTTATTAATGATATTGTGTGACAGACTTGCAAGCAGCTTGCTTTATGCTGACGATTTGAAAATTTTTAATAGCTTGTACGGCTTAGAAGATAGTTTGAAGTTACAGGCTGATTTGAGAATCATTGAGCAATATGCTACTTCGACGCTTTTACGCAGGGTTGAACCGACATGTTTCACTTTAGAAATGGGTAGAAGTATTCTTCGGTGAGTTGGTAATTCCAAGGATTTGGGCATGTTATTCGATCCAAAACTTTCATTTGTTGATCACGTTAATATGATAATAGCTGAAGCATATAAAAATCTTGGATTTGTTATCAGCAACTGCAATAACGCTAAAACGTGAATTTTTATTTTTAATGCTATTGTCAGATCTATTTTAAAATAATATTAGATTATCTGGTACCCCATCTAGGATATAGATTGTAATAACATTGAGAGAATCCAACGACATGAAGTACCTATGGTTCAAGGATGATCGAGTGTAGCTTGTATCACGTTTAGTCCAACGTAAGAATTTGTGTTAGTGAACTTGATACTTTCAGTTCCACCAAAAACAACCTTAGAGGGTGTTTCTTAACTGTTGGATGAGTTACACTTCTGTCTGTTTGCAATCAGGTATCTTCCTCAGTTTTTTTGTATAAATTTGTTTTTTCCTGCCTGGCAGTGTCTGGATTCTAAATAAATAAATGGCTAGTCGTGTCGAACCTTCACTATACTAAATATGCTTAGTAGTTTGCTTAGGTTAGGACAGAAAACGATACATATCGATAGTATTTTTTGTGATATCGTCTGTTCTGCCAAAAAAAGTAAGTAAGTTTAGTAGTGTGTTGTAGCCACAATTGGATCATCGCAGGTTTTGAAAAGCTGTTTCAAACTGTTCATCTAGGTATCTTTTGATAGGGAGCGAATTGTGGGCTAGTGTGAGGCTGGTTGCTCCTTTAGAGAACTAGCCACCAAGGTACACAGAGAAGGAAGTCTATGATGTGATTATGAGCAGGCCTAGATGGGTTTCAGAGTGCATAACACATCGTGAAAGCCCAACAAATTGATATTCATATTGATTAAAAACTCACCAAGCCCTGAGATACATGTATTTAAAACTTGTTGTAACGATTATTACTGGGTGTTATATTTTCCACATCACTTAGTACATATAGAGCTCCTCTTTCACTATTTCTAGTGTGTAGCGGCGTCTCTTCCAGATATCTTACAAATCCGGCACCTTCCCAAAAAATGGAAATTTGCTCATGTCCAACCAATCCTAAAAAGGATCTAAGAGCGACCCTTACAACTGCAGGCGTATAGGTCTGCTTTCTGATAAGTAAGGTGGTGGAGCGAGCTTCTGGACTACCTCGAACGTCACGGCTTGATTAGCAACAGGCATTATGGTTTTCGGCACAAGCGATCCACATGGGACCTCCTAGCTTCAGTCACGCAACTGTGGAGCAACTTGATCCGGTCTTAACGTCGTTGCTCTTGATATCATGGAAGCGTTCGATCAGCTGTGGCACGCTGCCTTCTTATGCAAACTTCCATCCTATGGTCTCCCAGAGAAGCTTTGCAGATGGATAGCTAACTTTCCCTCTCTGGCCGCAAGATATCCATCGTAATTGACGGATTCTCCTCTTCATCCCACAACGTCAGTCGACCTTGGCTCCGACACTAAGGATTTTTTCGCGAGTCCACAGTGTAGCACAGTGCACTACTGGGAACCGATGCTAAAATTTTCGCGGAGAACGGGAATAGGGGAAGACGGATGTGACGTCGTCCGAATGTCAAAAAATCACGAGGTACATCCCTAACGTCTGTGAGGTACTAGCCGGTGACAGGCATTATGTCAATGTCATTTAAAAACAGGCATCTCAATTGAAAATTTGTCTTCGCAGTGCTGAAAATTGAGTTAAATTATTAAATCATAAATGGAGGAACACGCCCACCTGATTTTAAATGACGAGGGAGAAGGTCATCGAAGATATACGAACCGCACTTGTCATATCAAATGATTGATTTTATTGATATACATATATATATATATATATATATATATATATATATATATATATATATATATGTTGCACAAAAAACGATCTGTCTTTTTATTTCAGATTCAAACAAGGCAGCTATGTTTATCAAGAAGCTTAAAGCAAACATTTTGCGCAACATGCGCCATCTAACCACTCCCGGTGTAACTTGAAACTGTCAAAACTTCTAGAGGTAGGGGGAATTCCATCTGTTCCCGCTCCGGTTCACTACGGGATCTCGCGAAAAAATCTCTCTAACAGAAAGTCTCTGGACCCATTCGCACCGGCGAGCCGTCGGCAACCTAGCTCCCTTCTACCGCTACACCAACGGGCTTTGCTCCTCAGAGCTCTCCTCCATGATGCCGCAGCGAAATATGCCTGCCAGACAGACTCGCCTGACTTTGGCCTCCCACCCTAACCTAACTTTGTACATTCAGAACTGGTCGATACGACCACTTCTTTGTCCCGGGGGTGTCGAGATTGTGGAACAATCTACAAGAGGAAGCTTCGCCCAGTTCTATTAACCTTAGGCAGTTGAAAATTCGGATTATCCAAATTTGTTTGGCAACCCCATTGCAGCCGCGGCTTCTGCATACGCAGCTGCTTCGGTATAAAAAAAGTCGCAAGCTTGTATCGTAGTCTTTATGCAGTCGTGGTACCCAGGTATTCGAAGGAAAAGGCACATAAGCTAACATCTAACAAAATCGAACAATTTTTAGCTGAACTTTAGTTGCTAAAAACCTCATTCACGCTACTGCGAGCATTCACGTCCAACCCCAATCGAAAACAGCAGCTATCGTGCAAACTTTTCCCCGCCTCCCACCGTAACTACCGGCCGTTGAAAACCATCCCAAGCCCACAAAAAGGTGTATAATTGATGACGTGGCGTCGTTGCCAGCCATTGTATTCTTATCGCGCCAGTTTCCACTCAATAACCCAATTATTAGTCCGGCTTGTGGGTGCAAATGACGGTCTGCGATTAGATTAGCTCGTCCTGTAGGCCGAATCAAATAGAGGGGGAGAAGGGCAAGCGAATTTGTTAAAACACGACGAATCAGAGGATAAACTGAATCTAAACAGATTCCGTCCCTATGACCATGACATACAACATCGATTCATAGTTGTTAGCAATCATCACTTCGGAATAGGTATCTTGGAGACAAGAAGTTGGCAAAGGAAGAAATACATGCCACGCAAAATTAACCGGACAAACAAAATTTTGTTCAAATTAAATTTGAAATAACTTTTTAACCTATGCATCAATATCGTTATTTTTTCGTCAAGTTGTTGGTAATCCCATTGTCATCATTATCGACTGCCGATCTTGCAAAAAATTGAAAATGTTTGTTGTAACTGAAAGGTGCATTTTCCCCTTAATTTCTGAACACCCTGTGGAAACATTGCATTACTGAATAATGTGACTTCGTATGAGAACGTTAAGCCTCAACTTTTCTCAATAGTTCTTTTTTTGATTTATGTGAATATCTCAATTATTGAAGCATATATGCAGTTTTAAAGAAAATCATACGAATCATAGCCATAAACAATTTAATTTAAAAAATTAGTGACAACATCGGTAAGAAAACTATGCGAATCATAACCATAAGTAATTTAACTTAAAAAATTACAGTGACATCATTGGTAATTAGAAATTGTTATCAAAAACGAGTATTTCCTCCCCGGGCTTCAATTACAGCTCTCATCTTCTTTGGCATAGACTCAATTAAACCAGCTATTGTGTCTTGGTGTATTTGCTCCCACCGTTCACCAGCGCCTGTTCCAACGCAGCCACAGTTTGAAATTGTCCATAGATTTGCCTAAGCCTTCTTCCTAATGTATCCCACATGTGTTCAATGGGATTGAGATCCGGATTCCTTGGCGGCCGGTCTAGTACTTGAATTCGAACATCGTTGTGGTATTGCCTAGTCTCTGGCTATATGCGGCCGAGCATTATGTTGCATTAGGAGAAAATTTTCTCCTATAAAGGGCATATGAGGAACCACCAGTGCTTCCAAACACTCTCTGTTGTACCTGTCAGCAGTAAGGTGTCCTCCTCGTAGCGAAACAAGATCTATGCGGGATTCCAAAGGAATACCGCCCCATACCATCACTCCGCCACCACCAAATTGCACTCTAGAATTGAAACAACTTTGAGTATGGGGTTCTCCACGCCTTCTCCACACTCTTTGGCGACCATCAGGTGAATATCTCGTAAAACGAGACTCGTCTGTAAATAGAACGTTTTTCCAGTCGACTATATCCGAATCTGCATGAGTTCGAGAAAATACCTAGCGCTGCCTTCGATGACTTACATTCAATAGACGACCTGTAGCAGGTACACAAGATGATAAACCTATCAGGAAACCTCCTTCTATCAACCTTCGGCGTACGGTATCAGGTGAAGCTAGGGTACCATGAACATCATCCAATCTTCGAGTCAAAGCTGTAGCAGGAACTGTCCTTTCTCGAAGAGCTTGAAGTTCCAGAAACCGATCTTCAACTGCGTTTGTTGCTTTCCGTCTTCCCTGCCCAGGTCTTCTTGAGTAAGAACCAGTTTCTCTCAATCTTTGTATCGCCGAATACCGTACTGCGTGGAACGGCAAGCCCTTCTGCGATATATCGAATAGGACGACCATCATCTTGTAAAGCTACATCTTGCGCTACTTGTTCTGGTGTCATTCTTGTTGAGTATTGCTTGACAAGAATCTTTTTGATATGCCATAAAAATGCTAACAGACAGACTGTTTGAAACAATTTCTTGTTTATGGCTATGAATCGCATGATGTTCTTCAAAACAGCGTACCTGTATATTCGTCAATAATTGAGATAGTGACATGAATCAAAAAAAGAACTGTTGAGAAGAGTTGAGGCTTAAAATTCATACGAAGACACATTATTCAGTAATCCAGTAATTTTCCAGGGTGTTCAGAAATTTAGGGCAAAATGCACGTTTCAGTTTCGCCCTCTATAACAACAAACATTTTCAAATTTTTTTCAAGATCGACGGTCGATAATGATATCAATGAGATTACCTACAACGTGAAAAAATTACTGAAAATGATGCAAAGGTTAAAAAGTTATTTAAAATTTAATTTGAACAAAATTTTGTTGTTTTGTAACGTGTCAAAATCACATAACTTTTTTTTCTACTGTTTTGATCACTTGATATTAATTTGATATTCTCTTTGTTAATGATAGAGTACTGATTCTTAGGCCAAATCTGTCTACATTTCTTGGATGACTCATGACATGTAGACAATGATCCTGTCTATAAGAGGAAATATTTTCGAGATTGTTCAAAAAATGAACCAGATAATATGGAAATACGATGAAAAAAATATATTCCCCCACGCAGTATCCGGTCTAGTTGTCAGATTGTTGAAAACAAGCAAATTTCAGAAAGCAGCGCATTATTCAGAATTTGGTTATAATATAGACAGAGAGATGCGGAAATTTCGACTTCCCAATAAGAAATATAAATATTTTATAGTTGGAACTTCTTATATAATGTACTGTGACTTAAGCCATTGCCATTGACCATTATGAAGCAGTTTGTTAGACAAAAAAAAGTACTTTTATTCCACGTGAACATTTTATAATACTTGGCTATGATAGTGATAATTATATGTACATATAAAATGCGGTGGACGCGAAAGAACTGCGCTGCACATCTGTTCAGTAGAACGGCAAGAATGAAGAAGCTATTTATTAATTTTTTTTCTGTACTACTTCTATGATTCTATTCACTATAGCATCGGCTGGAGCCTTAGGCTGAACTATTTTATCCCACCCGGCAAGTTTAAACTAGGTCACCCAACAACAAACTGATTCAGTGCAGATTTGAAAACTTCATTTTGTATCGCTTCCCGCGGATAAGCCGTAGCATATGAGACTCAGAAAAGATTTCTTTTGAGGGCGCAGAGCTTATTAAATTCGAGGAAATGATTGGTATTTTTGCCAGCAGGCATCTGCAGCAAGATATTTCGTTATAAATTTGTCTAACTCTTCTTTGTCCTTTTCGTGATTTTTATGAGCAGAATCTTTCTGGGTAACGGCATTTTCAGATAAAAGCGTTGCAGCGAGGCTGTTATCTAGCGTGTGAGGCGGCAAGTTTTCTAGAGCAGTATAAAAGTTGTTACACTGGTGTCGGTGTCTCACCTTTATTCTAGTATTTATTTATTTTTCCTTACTTGTGCTCACGTATGTTGGAAATGAGGTGGAAGTCCGGAAGAATTTCATAGAGGATGTTAACAAAATTTTGTTTAACTCGGAAACAAAACAGTACGAGGTGTTTGAATGAATTCAAATAGGTTAGAAGCCAATTTTAAGATAAAAAGGTCATACAAACATAGGTCCGCAAATTGTTTATCTAATGGTGTTTTATTATTTTGCAGTTGTATTTTTAACATTGAGGAGCTAATTTAGCCCTAACTTGATTAAATTTATTAAGTCCAGTGTTGTCTCTAGCGGGATCTGCCAAAAAATGTATGCCACTGACTTTTATGCAATGAATTTTATGTTCTTTGGATTAAGCAAACAGAAATATAACTTTTTGCCCATTGAATTTTTTCGTATATTTCTTAGATTTCGCATATCCCTGGACCATACAAGAAATATGGGGAAAACTTTCTTCTTTTTTATAATTTTTTACTACTCATTATCTAACAGCAACAACAAACAAAAATAACATTAACATCTAGACTAACAAATCTCAATAAATTAAGTGTTGGAAATGGCCTCATTCGGCTTCAATACAACAGTCTAGCCGCCTCATCATTGAATTACGCGCTCTTCTGAAAATACCTTTTTTATTATGTCGCATGAATTAATGATTCTATCCCCCAAATCCAGTGGTTATGTAATTTTCATCCAAAAAATGTACCACATACGGAATCTTTCCGTGACTGGAACTTTTCAAAAGTCCAGGTAAAACAAATTCCAAAAACCTTAGGCATTCTTCTCCATTAAGTCTAGGTGGAAGAAAATGAGGCCTGATGAGATGGTCACCGACAATTCCAACCCAAATGTTAAAAGAAAACTGTTCTTGAAAATTATTTTCTATTGAGGCGTGTGCATTGTTTTCGGCCCAAATGTGATTGTTGTGGAAGCTAATAACTGAGTGTCAAAAAAAGGTACACCTACGTATGTTTATCCGATTTTAATAATTTCTGGCATATATGTTCAGTGTCCCTTACTAGTAAAATGATTAAATTTTCAGCTTGATTCGTCAACTGACTGAAGAAGTTGGTTCAATAATGTGTTGACGATCCACTATTTCTTATACACTCATTGACACGCCTGGGCATCGTGCTGATAAGGTGGTCGATATCCTGTTGGGATATCTCATTCCAGGCTGGTGCAGCTTCGTGAGTAATAGCTGCTAAGGTATGTGGAGGGTGTTGCAAATTCAAGAGCCTGCGACCTATC